GTGTAGAGTGATTTCGAGACCATATTATGTCGTTTTATTTTTTGCGTAGAACCAGGTCAGACATGGAAGGTTTTGTTAAGCATGACATAAGGAATATAAAATCGTATTTTGCGACATTCTTTAATCGAATGAAACTTTTTGAACTATGGAAAACAGAAAGAAATGCTTCAACAAAAGTGTGTTGTTTCTTGTTCCCACCATCATATCTTCTTGATTGATGAAGTTATTGAAGTTCTTTTTCCGTACATCGAAGGCAACACAGTGGCGCTTTCAACAGTACCATTGGATTGCGCAAGATTTGCTATTTCTATTCTCGAAATATCAGGAAAGCATAGAATTCAAATTATATGTATAACTATTTGCACCAATCGACAAACTCAATTTTTGAAATTGTCCACTTACATATGAGGTAACAAATGAAGCCCACATATGATAAAAATTTTTGAATTCAATAGTTCTCTCCTAGTTTGTATAGCAACAATGATTCATTTCATAGCTCGCTCCAATATAATGTATCGGCAAGTGTCCCACAGAAACGAGGTTGAATTAGTTCGATATCAGCAGCATTCAGAATACTCAAAATCTCAAATCAATATCATTGTTTCAGGTTTCCTGAGACAATGAGTTGTATTATTTGTGAGAACATTATATAGGCTGTGTGTCCTTCACACACAGTGATGAATATTAAAGTCATGGCATCATCGACAATATTTCATCATTTTCCATTTTAAGATCCATAAAAATTAGCTGATTTCAAAATATTATGATATTTGGGGTCTAGCAAACAGGATTTGAAAGATATGCACTTGGAAAATATATTGTAATGAAATTTCCCTTAAAGGGGCTCTAGAAACATCATCAAGAAGGCAAGAGTACAACGATCATCCTGTAACACACATCTCAGATCGTTCTCCAACATGATTCCTACATATGTACCAGCCTATTTCGGAACACTCAATATACAGGGTGTCCCTAGACCAGTGGGACAGTTAAATATCTTCTGAACCAATAGGAATTTTCAAAATATTATAATTTCACATCATATAGCATTATCAGTGCTAACTTCAGGAATGACTATATTTTTTACGAGCAGCGCAAGAAAGGCTCACAAAATCGAACATAAATTTTTCCAACTGCATTTTCATATTCTCCTTGGAGAGCTGACTGAAACTGATAATTCTACACCACCCTGTATTTGTTTCAATTAAATACGAGTAAATAGTAAATCGAAAGTTAAGATATGGACATGTAAGCCGTTTTGACCAATAATGAATAGTATCGACACAAAAAATTCCCAAAAATGAAAAATCTCGATTTTCCACACCCTATATCTCGAAAATCATTCCCGCTAGACCCCAAGTGTGCTAGGTCGTTGAATTCAGCTCTTCAAGGAGAATATGAAAATGCAATGAAATACAGGGTGTTCCATTTGAAAAAATTGATGTTCGATTTCGTGAGCCTTTCTTGCGCCTCTCGTAGAAAATATAGTCATTCCTGAAGTTAGCACTCATAATGCGATATGATGTGAAATTATAATATTTTGAAAATTCCTATTGGTTCAGGAGATATTGAACTGTCCCACTGGTCTAGGGACACCCTGTATATCGCGGTGACAAATAACGTGTTGTTCTAAGAAGCTTCTGGAAGAAAAAGAAGGGTACAGAAGATCATTCGAGAACGTTCTCGAATGAAAGCCTACCAAGGGATCTCATATACAGTGTGTTGGAAATGTATGGAATAAATTCATTATCTCTAACGCATATGAATTCAAAGAAAAATCCTGAGACAGGTCGATTTTTATTTTCAAATTAACACCTCTTGATATACATACGGAGTTTGTAACGTCATCCGCGTAGTTGTGGTTACGTCATCGATATTTTTTTTAAATGGAAACATCCCCTTCTCTTTTTTTTTTTCGAAAGGTATACTCTTTGTCTATCCAACCATATACTGATATTAGCAAAATAAAGTAATACAGGGTGAGAAAAAAATATTAAATATTTCATATTCACAACGGAAACAATTACAATAAATGAAGAATTCGACCAGAAACGATGTATATCGTCAATCACATTGTATCATTGCAAAAGGTCACCAATTCGAACATTTATTGTAACGATGATTGTGATTGAGAATTTTCATGTAGAAATATAGATTTCAGTCGATAAAAATCATGAGTTTCCACACTTCATATATTATTCAATTTTTGAATCCTGGTGCACACCAATTTCTGTTTTGGGGATTGAGTTATGACGTCGGCGACTATTATTTCGAACGAAACACCTCATGAATCATTGAAATCGTTATAAAAAGGTGGATCCAAAATAATTACAATCGGAGGATTCCTACACAGTGCGCCCGTTAAACTCGACGTTTTCGTCAAATGGGGTTTTCACCAAAAAATAATACCGATTGCGTAATTCATTCTACAAGAATCATTCTGTATTTACTGATCGAATTTAAGAGGATGCCAGAATTGATGTCAAAGTTTCAAGAGAATTTAACGAATTTATGCACTACTTCACGATCATATATTTTCGATTCAATTTTTCCAGAAGAGATTCAAAGAATTTGAAAATATTCCTAAAAGATGTTTCATTCAATAAAATTGTCGTATACTTTATAGAACAAACGTAGATCACCCTGTATATATTTTTTTCATTTGAATGTGACAAGTCGTGAAATGCGTGAATGCGCCAAGCAATCAATATATTTCATAATTTTGCCCCTCACGTAAAAGGAATATGAAATTAAACGAGGAGTACATTATTCAAGCAGGTACTTTATTTCACAGGCGATGTGAATTTCAACAACGATTAAATAACAAAATTGAACAAGCATTAGTACATAATAATATTCACAAATTCACAATCAGTCGTATTAATCAATAATCTAACAAAAAAATAAGGTAGTTACCTGAATCAGTCGTTGAGTCAAATTTTATGTGATATATTGAGTGACCACTTTTACATATAGAAAACAATTCAATCCATGAGTGATGAATTTCTTCAATATACAATTCCACTAGTTGACAGAATATGTATGAAAAAAAAAACCCTGAAATGTTTCTTCTCGTCCCTTCAAATAAAAAATATTCGTTTAATTTTCATATACTTGTAGTGGGCAAACATCTGATGACTTGCGTCACAATCGTCGCGTTTGTTTGTGATTCTGTGGTGTAAGAATAGGATAATAAGAATTTGATGACAATCATGTGAAAACCACATTCAATCAAAATGACATAATAATCATCAATAAAAAACATCAAAGTGTAGATTAGATCAATTTTTTGATCCCTGGATTGGCCCTAGTCATTGATTCAATATTTTCAAATTTGATAGTACTTATATATTAATGAGGAATATTGTATAGTGAATCATGCAGTAGGCATACCATATTATGGAAATGGGAAGTGCATTGAAACTTATATTTGTTATACCTACCTTGCGACATTTTTCATTAAATTATGGATTCATAAGAGGAAGAAATTGAATTCATGATGGATGTTTCATACTGACCTCTTTCAGAATATGTAATGAAGATGTCCAGAAAATTTAAAAAAAATTGAGATTGTTATACAGTGTGTCCATTTAGTGCGTAATTCTTCGATATCTCCAAAGCCATAACCATTAGAAAAAAACTTTGAAAGAAAAACTTCTTCAGTTACTGAAGTTGCTCATTTCGAAAATATTTTCAACATCACTGGGTGTTTTATAAAAGCAGGATGACTCGGAGACGAGTTTTTTTGAATGGAACACCCTGTATTGTTTATTCGGATTTTATTTCGCCGAGGTTTACCTTTACATCGCTGTGAAAAAAATTAGAATCGGTTACGGCGTTGCCAAGTTATAATTGATGAATCTAATTTTACCACTATTGAAGAGTCATGTTGAATTGGGCATGGTATATTCATTTATTCAAATTATGAAAATATTTTTGGCATACGGTAGTAGCAAGGTCTCACGTATACAAATTCAGTAATTTTGCGACATGTTCCTTAACAGGGTGCTCTATTTCGCATTCAGAATTTCGCAAGATTCAGATGGCATTCATTAGAATTTTTCAAATGGAACACCCTGTATTTTTTTTCACAAATTTATTCCGACATCATTCACCTTTTTATCGCTGCAAAAAAATCATAATCGGCTGCGGCGTTGTCAAGTTATGGATAATTTCCTTATTTTTTCTACTATTTCGGAGTATAATTTTTACGTCATAGTTCTTTCATTCAAATAATCAAATTTCTTCATTGACCATTCATATATTTTTTTACAATAGGAACATTTGCACGCTCTCCAAGTTTGAATTTGAAACAGAGTGGATTTGACAAATTGATCCAAAATGCTACTTTCACAGATTTTTTGCAGACAACGAATCAATTTTCCGAAGTACACTTCCATTATTCGTGTAATGACCTGTCAAACATCGTCACAATCAAATATATCTTGAATTTATTTAAACTTTTGCTGAATTCCCTCCCGAAACTTGCGTAGTAAAGGAATATTGTTTGTATCATTATTGAGAGTTTGCCTTCTTTCAAGTATGATGGAGATTTGGTTTGTGGAAATAACGACAATAAAAGTGGTCCAAATTCCAAAGAATTGTCCTTATTCTCGCAATTCGAATCTCCATTGTTTGTATTGTAGAAGTTGTTTTGATGGCAGGCGTTTTGCTTTTGGCATCTTTGTTTCACATAGGTACATATTATTCAAATCATAAGTAACAAGATTACGGAATATTTCAAATTTTGACAATGCTTATATCGCAAAGATACCTGAATGATCTATGTAGAACCTCGAATGTCATGTGGCAAGCAATATTCCCACAATCAAATCAAATAAATGAACCATGTCTCTTTTTTTTCAGCGATGAAAAGGCGAATGATGTCGAAATAAATCTGTGATGGAAAATACAGGGTGTTGAAAAATTCTAGTGAAGGTCGACTGAATCTTACAATGTTCAGAGTGTAAATTTTAGCACCCTGTGAAGGATAATCTCGCAAAATTACTGGATTGGTGTACGTGAGACCTTGCTACTACTGTATGCCAAAAATCTTCTCAAAATTTTGATAAATGAATATACCATACCCAATTCAACATGACCCTTCAATAGTAGTAAAAATGGGTTTATCAACGTTTGGCAACGCCTCAACAGAATCCAATTTATTTCACAGCGATGTAGAGCTAAACCGTTGCTGAATGGGTTTTGAATAAAAAATACTGGGTGTTCTATTTGAAAAAACTCGTCTCCGAGTCCTCCCGCTTTTATAGAACACCCAGTATTGCTGAAAATATTTTTGAAATGGAACCTTCAAAAACGGAAGAAATTTGTTTCCAACATTTTTTCTCTAGTGATAATGGATTTCGAGTTGTCGAAGAATTACGCACTAACCAAGATTCAATACAAAGACCTTTCACAGCCATTTTAGATTAACTCTTGAATATTTCCATTAGTTATGTGCACATTTTTCCTCTTTCGTTGACTCATCTTTTCCATAAGTAGGTACCTACTCATTTCCTATCCCGTATCTACTATTTCTATTCTACAAAGTTTTTGATTACAACAAAATCATTATGATGTATGTCAAATACCCTTATTTGTCAAACATTCCAAACATCTCACCACGCATTCGATGTTTTGAGACCGAATGGCCAGTGCCACCAGGATGATAAGAAATTCCACAAAATAGTCAATAAAACGGCGATTCTGGCCCACTGGTGACACTAGCAATGTCAAAAAAACGCAACTAATATCACTGCGCTGAAAATCACTTCAGAGAACACTTTGTTCGGGAATAAAGAATCTAGGTAGGTTGGATAATAGAGAATTTGATTCATCTTTGGAAGTTTTGGATACGATTCTGCTCTCGTTTTCAACAAAACAATCGAAATAATATTCTTCAAGAATTGTTTTCGGATTCCTCTATCAATACTTGTCGGTGACGAAACTTACCACGAAAACGTAAGTTTCCATCAATTGAACTTGGATGTATCATTCTCATATCCAGATTATAGGACTCAAATCAATATTCTATATATCAACTGAGAAGGTTCTGATTATTATTCTATATTCTTCTACAAATATATTTCAAAAATGTGTTACTGGAAATCGATTAGATTTCTCTTAAAGGTTTCAGAGAGTGAAAATTAAACTTATATTCATTTAGGTATAGAGACGGGGAGAAAGAGTCCCAGGAATTTTTGAGAAAAGAACTTAAATCGTTCCCCGATCAACCCACAAGTAATATTTTTGTGATGTAAGCTAATCTTAAACGATATGTTCTTCCAGTGAGTGACCAGATAATATTGATGTATGTTAGACTACAATAAACTAAATCACACTCATACCATTCTATTTACAGTTGAATGAACAACAAAGATTCAGGTAAATTATTTGAAACAATGACGTGATTAGTACTCGTTTCCTAAAATAATGAATCCATAAGGATACTTTTTATGGCACTATCATTTCATACGATTATGTGACCAATATCTCACAATTTGGTAGTTGCTTGTAGCTTCACATATCTATTGTGTTGAACATGATCTTCACATTCTGGATGTAGAAAATATTGATGTGTTTCAATTTTCGGCTTTAGTATAATTCTTCTCACGCCCCATATCAAAACAATAACCATCAAACATAACACCAAGAATATCGATACAAAAGCTATATCCAGATGTGTAAATCCCCTGATTTCTTTCTTGAACACAGTCACGCACCGTGACTTGTTCAAATTCAAGGACGGTCCAGATTCTATCACATTCGCACATACACGGTAAGGCCCCTCATCAAGTCCAATGAAACTATAGCTAGGGGTCTCACAATCGATTGTTCTCTGGGATATAAGGTCACTCTGTTGTAGGATGGCCAGGTTCAGTTGGCATTCTGCTCTAGGGTAAATATGTACATTTATTGAAAGAACACCATAACTTGACAAGTTTGCCCTTATTGAAATAACATTCGGAAGCTTCACGGAGTAATTAGTTGTCTGCTGAATTTTGACATTCTGAATCAGCGGCAGCACATCTGAACAACCCAGTATTAGTGATACTTCGTCAGTCTGACCGGCTTCCAGTAATACGACACAATATCTGTATCTATGTTCTTTTTCTAGTTCCACTGTGTAAGGAACACTCACATTCAAGACCTTAGGATCAACCATATGGGAAGAATTACATTTTATTGGAAACGATTCCACAAGAACTTCATTAGGACCCTGCTCTTCGTAAACGAATATTGCGTCACAAGTATATGGGGAAGCCTCATCTTCAACACTCCATTTCAATTGAACATCATTTCCATCATATTTGAAATCTTTCAAGTTGATCTTGGCTTGAAATGGTGCTGACAATGGTGCCATCATGGTATCTTGTTCATCTTCTCCGCATATGAGGCTATCCAAAGGTACTTCTATCAATAGGCCATTTTCCAGTGAGGGAGGGGTTGTACAGACCGCTGAGGATTTGTCCTCATGGCTTAGACTAGAATTCATCAACCAAGCGGCGAATTCGTCGAGACTACAATCGCAATTCAAGGGGTTGTCTGAAAGAGTGAAACGTTGAAGGACTGTCGATGACTTTAGGGCATCACTAGCTACAATAGAAATATCATTCTCATCCAGATTCAGATTTCTCAGATTCTTCAAAGGAATTATCAGATCTGCCGTTAGAGCTCTGAGAAAATTGTGTCGTACATCTAGATCAGTAAGGTTGTTCAAGTGTGCTAGGGATGCTCCTGAAACAGCTACAATCCTGTTATGAGCTAAGTCTAATATGACCAGAAATGTCAGGTGACTGAATGCATTATCTTCTATGACGTCAATTTGATTGTGTGAGAGCCTCAATGAGGTAAGATTCGACAGTCCTTTCAGAGCTCCCATTTTAATGCTGCTCAAAGAGTTATGCGACAATTGTAGATCCCGCAAATTCTCCATCCTAGGAAAAGTGTTGGGTTCCAATGGACCTACGAATGCATTTTCCGAAATATCCAGCTCTTCAACTGTGGAAAAAGAGTTCAGTTTGGTGATGGTGGCAACTGTTAATCGGTTTCCCCGTAATCGTAAGACTCTGAGTTGTGGAAGATCTTCAAAGGTAGTAGGTGAGATTCTTGATAGGACGTTGTTGCTCAAATCGATGAAGGAGAGATTTCTGAGACCCTGCAATGAATAACAAATATATGAGTAACTATAGCCCAGATCGATATTTATCTCAAAATTCTACTTTATAAAAGAATAATAATGATTGTCGCAGGTAATTAGAAAAAAATATATTCATCGTGCATTATTCGTGATGTTGATAATAATAATGATAATAATAAAATATTTTCTGTATCTGTCCCCACGGAGAAGGATGAGAGATATCTACAATATAACAGAGGGCAAATGGGTGGAAGTCTAGTCATGACCACACGAATCTAGTCAATTTCTACTCAACCCTATTGACAAAAACAAATTGAAAGAAGTAGATATCGGAATCTGACATTTCAAATAATTCCTTCGATGAGATGATTTATCCTCATTGTACTCAATTTAAGTTGAATATGGATAAATTACGAGGAATGAAGTTGAAATGACGAAATGATCATGGTATGAAAACAATCATGAGGATTAAGTTTCTTTCTCATTTTCATTTTTTGTTCATGAAATAATCTCAAAATTGATGTCATTATTCACGAATCAAATATTGAATGATGGAGCCATAATTATGGTGATTTAAAACAGATGGTAGTATATATTGAACAACATTCTACATAGAGGTTTCATGTATGCGCACGCCGCACGTCACGTACTAGCGTGTCAGGTGCCGGCAGTCGAACACGATTATATGCACAAACAATGTCAGCATAATCATTACCAGTTTTGATTTTGAAAATGACCGAAAAACAATTCGTGTTTCAATTAAGCAAGGACATTTCATGGCGACGAAGATGAAAGTGATTTTGTGTAGTTCGCGGTCGTATCGTCACCGTCGGAGGTAGCAGAGAATGAGACAAAAGTTGGAAGTGCGACCGGAAAACAAACTTGCCGAATTTTTATTGAAGTTATCGGCACAAGACTCAATTTGGTTTTCGATCCAAAGACCAGTGATTGGCGGGTATTCATCAAGCGTCTAGAGCAATATCTCATTTCCAAAGGAATAACTGATGATGACATCAAAAGGGCAATATTATTGTATAGTCTAGCTAAGGAGACTCATTTATTGTTATCTGATTCGTCAATTCCAAATTACTCTGAGGATTGTAGCTACAACGAGATTTCAAAAAACTTGGGTAATGACTATGCAAAACCAGTATGATATATGTGTCGAACGCACCTAGCTTTTCATGGCAATCAAGAGCCAGGAAGAGTCAGTGCAGGAATGGAGTGCGCGATTAAAAAACATGGCCAGTCATTGTGAATTTGGAAATAGTACCGATTACAAACTGACTGGGTTTTGGTTGAAGGCAGTTCCTAACTTGACAAAATTTAGGCAAGCCAAGGTTAGTTCAGTTCATTGTACCAGTATATCACCTGACGAAGCTACTGTGTTAGCGAAACATATCGTGTGTTTCAGAATTTTGTGGAAATCTTATATCTTTTGTGAAGTTTCTACATTTGCCATGGATTTCCATCGAGTAACAGCCGAGTCAATTCAAAGAAGATTATTGTTCCACAGTTCATACTATTCTCACTACCAGAATATGTTACTCAAAATACTCCTACATGAAAAAGTTTTGTGAAAATTCGCCAATTACCATCGCGCAACAATTCAACACCACGTTAAACTCTAATGAAACAAAACTACTTTATTGAAGTATTTCGACCCAGCTCCATTCCTAGACCGGATTCAAGACTTATTCAAGTACTTGAAACATATTTGACTTGAATTTCACTTGTTTTATATCTCGAAACGCAAAAAATCTGATAGATCTGAGCAATTTTTCAATTCCTAACATGCAAAGTTTCTGCCTGGTATTGAACTCCGGTTCATTACAACTCCGATTACTTCATTATTCTTCATTCCTTTGCTTATGATGTGATATTCAGATGAATTACATACCTATTGTAGGTTTGAATGTAAACTTGTTCATGACTTTCACGTGATTGAATATTTTCCAGTTAAATTCAATCAGTAGCATTATTGAAGGTAGTAGATTCTTCTCCTGCGCATATTCAGGATGGAAGGGTAGTTTCTCCGCATTTTTGTAAGTCCGAGGACATGTGCTCTGAGGCTGAATCCAGCAGATATAGTTGAGGATTCCACCCAAACAGAATCGAGGATTCGGCTGACCTTGCACCAAGCTCCCTGGGGAGTATAAATACTCAAGGCCTTGTTATGCTGCTTCAGTTTTGGTATTCTCTCTGCCGACCACGCTCTTTTGAATAATTCCAGTGTACAGTATCACAGTCATTGTTGTGTTGGACATATGAGTTTTTATATATTTTCAACCATCATACCCTGTATAGAAAACCATTTCATTCCTGTAGCTTTGTCATGCCCGATACTAAACCGACCTCTATAAAGATACCACACATTTTTATTTTTGAATAAACGCTTCCTACGATGACATATTTCTTCCTTTTCTGCTCTCATTGTTTTCAATAACTATATGTCACTTATGTAAAGCACTTGTCAAAGAGTCCTACAATACAATATTTTCATAAGTTTGCAGCTATTTCACCTGCATTCCGAGCAACAAGCTGTGGATTTCGATAAAACAAAATGAACGATGAACGTGTAGGCTTCTGTTTGGAGTAAGTACAATTTTTTTCCATTCTTGCTACTAATAAGGTATTAATAGTTCAAGATGCTACATGAATGTTGATACTACATGGCTGAATAGTTTTTTAGTGGTTATATTATTATGTCATGATTCTTCTCTATAGTGTGTTCATTTTTTGTGTTACCATATGGTTACTCTAGCCAGTTTCAAAAGCATAATGTTTTTATATCATTTTTCCTATTTCAGAAGGGGTTTTACTCTTGAAGAAGCGCTGAATTTGGCTTATGAAGATGACGTCGATGTGCGAGAGATTTTCATCGAACCTCCGGACCCAAATGTACTTACCGACGACGACTCTGGTGAAGAGAATGAAGGAGGGATGATTGACAATCTCAACAGACAACAATTGTCAGCTCATGTGGAATTGAAAATTCATAATGATGATGGAACTCTTGTTGATAATGAAATGGAAGAATCACAAGGTGAAGCTGTTGCTAGTATCACAGTAGAACAAGATATAATAGAGCGATCAGGTACGACCAGGATAACATGGGTGGATGAAGACCTGCTTCCATCTCCAAGACAATTTACAGAATCAGACAGTTTTCGTTACGTACACTTATCACCTGTTGCAATGTTTAAAAAGTTCATAGATGATGAAATTCTTCAATTTATTGTCGACGAATCTATCAAATACGCGTTATTCCTGAATGATGCTACCCCAAGAATAACTCTTGATGAAATGAAATGTGTGATAGCTATTCTCATTTTGACAGGATATGAAGAATTGCCTGGTAGAGATTTTTATTGGGACCCTCATGGGGACATGTGAAATCAGATGGTTATTGGTGCAATGCGCAGGGATGGATTTCGACTGATACTGAGGTATATACATTGTGCAGATGAAACAATACCAGATCCATCAGATAGGGTATGGAAGCTTCGACCTTTCATGGATATGCTTCGACAAAGGTTCATGCAAAACTGGATTCCCGATCAACAATTGGATTACGATGAGTCAATGACCAAATATTTTGACAGACATTCCTGTAAACAATTTATTCGTGGCAAGCCTATAGGGCTCGGATACAAAATGTGGTGCATGAATGGACCATCAGGATATTTGGTGAATTTAGATCTTTATCAAGGAAAGAACCCAAAAGGTAGTACTTCTTTCGAAAATGAATTTGGTAAAAATATCGCGCCAATGATAAATATGATTCACGAATTTCCAGAAAATATTAAAAGTTTGCCATTCAAATTTTATTTTGACAATTTGTTTACTGGCTTCTATGTTCAATTTCACCTGAAGCAGCTTGGCTATGATGGTACTGGAACAATGAGGAAAAACCGAATACCCAAATCTTGTCCATTGATAAAGAAAAAAGATACCTCGAAACACCAGAAGAGAGGAGATTATATTTCGAGTCTTGATAAAGAAGGTGGTATAATTGTCGTCAAATGGGTCAATTACAACGTCGTCACGGCAGCTACTACTTATCATGGGTAAGCCCAGTAACAAGCGTGAAACGATTCTCGAGAAAAGAAAATAAGTTAATATAGATCAACGGTCCATCACTGATAACTGAGTATAATCGATTCATGGGTGGTACTGATCTACTGGATGAGAATGTTGCCAGATATAGAATGAGCATCAGACGAAAGAAGTTGTGGTGGTCCATTTTCACTTGGTTGTTGGATATTTCAGTGATAAATGCATGGACAATCTATAGGAAGCCTAATGCGATTCCCCAACTCGAGTTCAGAAGACAGATTGTACAGAGCTATCTCGTTAGATATGGAGTTCCTCCTAAAGCAACAGGAAAGCCCACAAATCACGTTCGAGTGTAACTCTGGATAGGATTTCTGATGATTTGCGCTACGATGGCCGTAACCATTCACTTGTACCTACTGCAGCTAAGAAGAGACGAAGATGCGCAGGTGAGGGATGTTCATCGAGTATTAGAACCCAAATTCGTGAATGTGATGTTGGTTTATGCATAGAATGTAATGAAATATTCCATACAAAATGAGAATGACATCTTCAGCTAATGTTTCCATATGGTAACAGCGAATTATTTCGAATAAAATACATTTCTTGAACAATCTTGGTATTTTCATGTCAAATTCCCTCGAATAGCTATCTGAACTATAGGATTTCCTGTAAAATCCATCAAAACCAAATTTCGCCGTTAACGGGTTAATTCCTGATTCAAGAAATAAGAACAAAGAAGGAGAAAAGAGAGATGAATGAATGTAATCTATTGCCGTGTTTGATACCGTGTTTCTGATTCTCCATGTTATTCCAAGTAAAATTCTTGCCGTATGGGGGCGGCTCAGAATAACCCTCATGGTGAATCCTGCCTCTCGTAAAAGGCGACTAAAAGGATAACTTCAGGTGGTAGATGTTCTCATCGCCCGGTGAAATACCACCATATCGAGTTTGTGTGCTGTGAAATAGATAACTCCATGTTTCAATGTTCGGTCGATACTTTCTGGTCTCCCCCACCCTTTTCTCCAATTTCTCCTTACTATGAATAAGTATGAAACTCAAGTGAACTCGTCCACCAACAAGGTCCACATGCTCTGTCCTGGTTACGAACTCCATTCTCGATTCAGGTTTAACGGAGGAGTATGCCTCTACGCTAAGGCTAACCTTTCATGCCAGCGTGTAGAGAGTTTGGAACCGGAAGACTTCGATGTGGTGTGGTTCAAGCTAGTCGATACCAAACTGACCAAATTTATCTGCTGCCTCTACCTATCAACTAATGATAATGAATATAACAATCTCTCTGAGTTTTTATCACTCGAACTGGACTTCATTCAGGAGAACCATCCAACAGCTGAAATCATAATCATGGGAGACTTCAATGTACACAACGCAGCCAGGCTAAAATTCTCTAACAAAACAGATGATACAGGTCGTCAAACTGAGGCCTTCGCTATCACTCATAGTCTTGAACAACTAGTCGAACTACCAACCCGCATTCCACATGTCAACAACCAGTCTGCCAATACACAAGATCTTTTTCTCACCAGCAATCCTGATCCATATAGAATAAAAGTTTGTGCCCACTTGGAAACTCTGACCACACACTCATCTCCACAACCTGCTCTTTCCAAGTACCATCCAGCACCACAATTTCTACCCGTCTTATGTGGCATTACAATTCGGCGGACTGGAAAGGTCTTCGTATGTTTTTTTCAGCGTTTCCATGGAAGAGAGTTTGTTCCTCCTCAGCAGATCCAACAAGATGTGCTGAGACAATTTCTGAAATCATTATGTTGGGGATGCAAACCAACATACCGAACACTGCAAGGAGAACATCTTCCGATAAGGCCTGGTTTAGTAGAAACTGCTCTAGAGCTGTCGCTTCCAAACAGGCAGCATTCCATCGATGACAGAAAAATCCAGGCCCTGAGACTAGAGCAGAATATTTCGAGGCTAGAGGAATATGCAATGAGACAATTCGATCATCAAAGGATGCTCATAATGCCAAAATGAGATCAAAACTCGATGAATCTCCTAACGGATCCCGATCATTTTGGTCCTTTGCCAAAGCTGTAGGAAAAAACTCAACTTCCAGCTCGTTTCCTCCTCTTACCAAGGCAAATGGAACACTACTCACAACTGCCCAGGAAAAAGCCAACATTTTTGCGCATTTATTTGCTGGAAATTTCACACTGGATTCATCGGGAAAACAACCTCCAAACATGAAGCCAATTGACAGTCAAATGCCCGAGATCACCTTTCGCCAACGTACTATAAGGAAGATTTTATTAATTCGCAACACCAACAAAGCTTGTGGCTCCGACGGAATCCCACCGATTGTTCTCAAGAATAGGCTCCCGAACTAACACCTGTTCTCTGCAAGTTGTTCAACTACTCTTACAGATTGAAAATATTCCCGTCCAACTGGGAGATAGCGAGAGTACAAAATGTTCCTAAAAAAGGCAAAAAGACCCTACCTAGCAACTTCAGATCGATCGCACTGCTATCCATTATTTCAAAGATCATGGAGAGAGCTATCAACATCGAGCTCATGGAATACCTGGAACATTAAGGCATTATCAACGATAGGCAATATGGCTTTCGTCATCGGAGATCAACTGGTGACCTGCTCGCTTACGTCTCACATATATGACAGCAATCTATTGAAAAATATGGTGGAATCTTAGCCGTAGCACTTGATATCTCCAAAGCATACGAGCGAGTCTGGCACCACGGACTCCTCGCTTCCATCTTATGGCTTGCCTCCCCAGCTATGCTCTCTGCTAGCTAGTTTTTCTCTCAAACAGGCATCTCCATGTAGTGGTCGACGAAGTTTCATCTGACTCTCTTATCATGAATGCTGGTGTTACGCAAGGATCAATTCTAGCACCAACACTAATTCTACTCCATATCAACGATTTGTTGGGAGCGACTTCATGTCCAGTACACAGCTTCGCGAAAGATAGTACCCTCCATACCGCCTTCTCTTCCAGGGCTCCAATACTAGCCAGGCAAATCAGGAACGAACGAGGGAGAAATGTTGGCAACATAAATATGGACTCGGCAACAATTCTTGAATAGGGATCCAATAACTTGATAGAATTCAATGCAAACAAAACATGAGCTTCTCAGGAATAACCATACCTTTGAAGACATCCATTTCGATGCTTGGTATTACTATCAGCAATAACCTTTCTTGGGGAAATCACGTGAGATCAATTGCTGAAAGTGCATCCCAAATACTTGGTTTTCTCTTTCGGGCCAGGACCCACTTCACTTCTAGTCAGCTGCTCATGATCTATAAGGCACAGATCCGATCTGCCCTGGAATACTCACTCAACACCATATTTGGAGAGCAGCACCCAAATAAACCCTAAAACTGTTGGATTCTGTCCAAAAAAGGCCAATTCGTCTCGTGGGTGATGCCTCGCTCATGAACTCACTCACTTCTCTGAAACACCGTAGAAAAGTTGGCGATCTGGCTCAATTTTATATGAATTCTCATGGACGATTCTCTTCTGGAATATCAACAATTATTGTTCCCATAGCAGTCCCCGCGAAATTAACCCGTCGAGTTGAGGCTTCGCACCCCTCCGTGGTCACCTTGGAGACCTGCAGAACATCTCTTCCCAAAGACTCGTTCATCCAAAGAACAGCGAGGCTCTGAAACACATTGCCAAGGGAGGTGTTCCCCGAGGCATGAAACCTCCAGAAATTCAAGAAGATTACCAATTCCTACCTTATTCCCTTTGGTTCTCGCGATGTTCTCTGAACTTTACAGGATATCCTTTCTCGTGAGAACCAGAACATGAAAAAAAATCAATGAATTAGTTTGCCTCATTGATTCACCAGATCTGACCTCTGGAACCATTGTGAATTAGACAGAGATCTGTTTAGATTCCTGTGATTATCCAGAATATCATCTAGCAACCAGTATTTCAGGCTAAACCTAGGGCTTCTTATATCTTTGAACCCTTCAAGTCCAGGTCCACTTACAAATAGTCCTGATGTGAGTCTGATCAATAACATCGACCCCTGATTTACCCAGGCCTTCTCATAAACTCAGTTTGTAGGAGTTGGTGAAGTAAACCACCTTCATAACCGCTTTCATTCTCAATTTATTCATCGCATCTTCTAACACGGATTGAAACTTGTAATGTACATCTATATGCAGACGACACGCAGATTTATCATAGTTTTTCCCAACATATGGAAGAAAATGCAAGTTTATCAATCAACAACGATCTTAATGCCTTTGTAAGAGCAGCTTCAGAACATTGCTTACTTATAAATCCTGGCAAATCCAAAGTTATGTTGTTTGGTAGTAGAAAGCACTGCGAGAATATTGTCAACTCCATCAATATAAATATTAATAATGAACAGCTTGTGATGGTAGAGGAAGCACGAAATCTAGGAGTAACAATGGATTCTAACTTGAGATTTGAAAAGCATGTAAATAAGTTACTGCAGCGTGCCTATGGTAGTTTGAAAATGATTTATGGTAACCGTCATTTACTGCCGATACGTGTCAAGAAACTATTATGTGAAACACTGGTTCTCTCCCAATTCAATTATGCTGATGCTCTCTATGGTCCCAATTTGACCAACCGATATAAGACAAAAATACAAAAAATACAAAATGCATGCCTGCGATTAATCTTTGGTATCCGCAGGAGGCAAAGAATTTCACACAAACTCCATGAAATCGGATGACTAAATATGGACAATAGGAGAATACATCACACTCTCATTCTATACCATGAAATCATTACCAAAAAAGTACCTCCCTATCTCTCGAAAGAAATATCATACCGTACCGACGTCCATAACTCGAATATTAGGAATAAGGGACTTTTAACTATGCCACCTTTCAAAACAGGACATTTCAGACGCTCTTTCAGTTATCAAATCTGCTATCTTTGCAACCCGGTTTTTGGAAAAATAAAAGAATTAAACACATCGAAATTCAAATTATATCTCAAAAAATATCTATTGGAATCTCGAAAATAATATTTGAAGAATTATAATTGATCCCACTTTGTATGAATATTCATTTCTCTGTAATATTGTACTGACTATACCTATTACATCGATTTCTTGGCACGACAGCACAGGTTGTTGAGAATAAGTGGAAGAATATTTTTTGGTGTGTTTACACAGCAAAAAATAAACTCCGCCCTTTGCTTCCAAAATAAATATATTGTATAGTATGTTTATTTGTAATTTTTTTTGTTATTGGAAGTAATAAAGACGATTTATTATTATTATTATTATTATTATTATTATTATTATTATTATAAAAAATCTGGCGCCCGAGACGATGAGAACAAGTACCTGTTATCTCTGCCCGAAAAGCGCCAAACTGAGGGCTCCAGGTATTGAGCATCTAAGACTACGTGGAAATGCAAGATTTCAATTATCACATTCTACTTTGTTTGAATTAGAACAAACGTTCAAAATCATCGTATATTTCGTCGGATCACATAATGAAAAATGACACTGTCTTCAGAAAGGGTTCATTACACGACATTCTAACATAAGTTGCTTCATGTAAAAGTGTTTGAGGAATCATGTTCGGGAATACTATGAATGAATGATGATGAATCGTGAATCAAAAAAACTTGGGGCATTTTCATAGCATCAGTTACGAGTTTCGGACATCTCTTTATATTATATCATGTTTTCCGTTTAGAGAAACGACTTTATGCATCAAATTCAATAATCATCTCTCTGCAACCGATATTCAAGCTGATACATATGTCTCACCTTGAATGAACTTTCGTCTAGTGATTTCATTTTGTTTCCTGATAAATCCAATCTATCCAGTTCCGGTAGTGACCTCAAAGCTTCCGATGGGACAGAGAGTAATTGATTATTTGGTAATCCCAATGCTTGCAATGGCGACGCAAGTTTCTGAAAAGCAGTTGGATGGATTTTTCTGATTTCTCCCGATGATACAACCAAACCATGTAAAGCCACTCCTTCCAGTATTGGCCCTGAGATTATAGTTACATTTTGTACTGTACAGTCTAGTAGCGATATCGATGCAGCTTTCATTGATCGTAGAGTACGAGCTGAAAATCAAGACAAAAAATATGTTAAACCTCTAGATCATCCAAGAACGACCGACTTATACTCAGTGAATAAGTGATGCATAATGAGCTAGATAATTTCCAAAAATGTTTGCGACTTGAGGTTGATTTAGAATACACACTCACCGGCAAATAAAACCAGCCAGCCAAAATGTTTGCCAAATTGTTCGCACTGTAACTTCCTTGATTCTTGTCCGATTTTGGCGAAATTTTTCCCAAATCGAAGATCAATGTTTCGGAATATCAACCAAGATTTGAGGTCTCGAGAAATCAGATAGCTTGTTCATTATACAGGAAATAACAGAATTCACTATTTCACGCTTAACTTTCGAACGCGCTTTGACAAAAGTCAGTAAATAAACTCAGCTTCATCATATTTCGAATTGAAGTCTGATCCTATCTTAACACAATCGTTCTTGTTCTACGTTGATATCTTTTTATCAAGAGAAGATACATGTATTACAGGAAAGTATGTATTATTCAAATTTGCAGAACCTACATGAAGTTACCAATTCGCAACTTCAACAATTGAAATCACTAATTTTCACCCCGTTTTTTCAACACTCACCAGCAGACAGACACCTCAATTATTGAAAAAAAAAGACCTCCAAGATGTAGTCAATCACGAGTCCCAGAGGCTGAATTACAGCAATCAACTACCATGTCATAGAGTCGATCAAATTTCTGAAGATTCATGTCAAATTCTCCTTTAAGGCAGAATCTCAAAGATGATATATAGGTTCTGGATTATTGTTATTGAAAACCAAAGGAAACCTTTCTATCTTCCCTTGAAAATGAGAAATTGAAGAGAATCATAAATTGATGTGTTAAGAAAGAACGAGAAAGAATCACACTCTGATTCGAAACATGATTGAGCAGCAGGCTGTTGATGAAAAATAAAGAATGCCATACTTCCTGGAAACTCTTGTATCTCCTCTTAGAAAGAAGTTATCGACGTGAATGAGAAACCATTGTGATGAAGAGAAATCACAATTCAATCCAAAATATGATGAATCTAAGTTGAATCACTAACCTTTGCCAAAGAGCGTTAAGAAGTTGAGGGTGAGAGGGTTACTTTGGTTTTTATTTCTATAATGATCAAACCATCAGTTTTTCTTCAGTTGAATTTCAGGCTAACATTCCGAAACAAATTAACGATTTGGTCGAAATTTCACTAGGATCGGACTGAAATTCAAAAAGTTACAGGGCGATCAATTCGGCTGACTTTTTTGCTAGCTGGTTTTTTTGCTAGCCGGTTATTTTGCTGATGAGTGTAGTTGAGGCACATTCCATCAGAAAAACCTCCAGAAATCACTGATAGGAACCACGAACCATTACATATGACATGTTATCCCAAATATCTTCTCCACTTAGAGACAGATGAACCCTTCATTTCAATACCTTTTATGGCACAGTCCCAAATGTCTTCTCCTCTTAGAGACAGGTGAACCCTTCATTTCGATACCTTTTATGACACAGTCTAGAAGGGTCTGTTTTTGGGTTGAAGTGAAAGCAAGACGACAGAGTTTGGTGTTCCACCGCTTATGTATTTTTATTTGATATTGTCATTTACAATTGAGGTCGATGAAGAATAGTTTGGTCTTTTGTCAATGCGCTGTTGGAAAATTTAAATTATATAGTCTATTTCTTGGGGTACTGATTCTACCAAACGAAAGACTCCGCACAGATATTATGAGAAATAAATTTTGGCAAAATCTGCTGAAATTCTGGTATTTTTTAGTTTATGTTATTTCGATCGATAGTTCTCATGGGCCAAACTTGTCCAATTTACCTATATTTTTTATATGCAGATAGTTCAACTAACATTAGATGTCGAATGTTATTAATTTTCTAGTGAAACAAGTGATTGTATTCAAATTCAGCTCAACAAAATGAAGGATTGAAAATATAGTGAACTCAGTCTTGATCACTATTCAAAATATCTAACATGGCTGCTGCATGTGCCATTTCGATATTTTTTCTCAATCACACCTAATGAATACTCATATGGTCATGCAAAACCACAAGGAAGAACTACATAGTGAATCGGCAAATAGAAGTCTCACCAACATACAATACAGGATGATTGAGATTGGGTTATGTATGTGATGTCGGATGATCCCAATTATTGAGCAGAATAATAAATGTTACCAAATTCAGTTTGCCTTGATCAAGGACAGAAGCTATGGGTAGTACATCAATTGATAATCTCCAAAATGGGTCAAACAGTGCTTTTTCTGAAGCCTTCCTTATGTGAGTAATTACTGATAGAGTTTTTATACAGGATGATCTGAGCATTTTTTCGTATCTACGCTATTATCACCCAAAATCTCCCTGTCAAGTTGAAAATGGGCCATCCTATATTATGGAAAGGTTATTGAATGATTAAACTAAATACGTGACCAGAATATCAACATGAAGGAGGAAGAAACCTGCAGAACACAATAACTCTGATATCTTTGACTATGGATGATGTGGAGGGACTCCGAAAGAATTTTTTCAGATATCTCGTGAACCAAGCAAAATTTAGAAAGGAATCTGGTGAGAAAAAAAAAAGATAATTGATTTTGTTATTCAAGTAAGTAGATATTGAAATATGGTCAGTGGCGTACTCGAAAAAAGTTCTATGGATTTTCTCCAATCAGAATGCTAAATTCGTATCTCCCTGTATATCGATCGCACTGATGAGACCTGTTATCTATGCACACTTCTTATAGTTGACGTTGAAGTTGACTGCCTTTCAAATTTCAGATCATTACCTCTCAAGGATTTTGAAATATTTAATAAAATCTGAAATAAAAAATCCATTCATCGCCCTCTCACGGCCCAACGGTGCATTTTCGTAAGTAAGTTGGTCCCAATCGACCTATTTTGAACTCCAGTTCACTCTGTTGAATTTGATGTTCGTTGTTCTGTATACAATTGACACAATTGTGAATTAAGACGTTACTGAACAATAGAAACCCTGATGAAATACCACGGAAATGATGATAGCCCTATGGATTACACAAATGCATGAATCTATTGCTACAGATGATATGAAATTCGAATTGAATGGAAAATTGTTTGAGAGTCCAATATTGATATTCTCATCATCGTTACCCAGAAACGACTCTTTCCAAAAACCTGACTTGTCGGACATTGAGGAGATCTTACCTATAACAGCTAAGGCTGATCTATCACCAGTACATCTCAAAGTATGTGGCATGTCGCAACTGCATTCCAACACTGGCTGCTCTGCTATTTCAGGACATTTCCATTCATCTGTACCAGGTGAAGGAATGGCTGAGGACCCACACCACCATAGTAGTGAAAATACTAGCCACCACATACTAGAAGAGAAAATTATCAAATACATTTCAATTATCACCGTGGTTACAAATCATTGGAATCACGGTAGGTAGTCATAGTTTTTTCGAATCTTGTCGCCTATTCATCAATGATAATAATGTTGTATGTAATTGAAAGAAATGAACAATGTTGATGTTAACTATTTGCGAGAGTTGATAGCCGAACTCAACTTTTGATACAAAAATAGTCTGATGAAGAACTAAATGCAACGGGAACGTTGATATAATACCACATTGATTGACTTGAGAATATTTTTTTGATCTACATCGGTGATCAAGTGTTTATCGATAATAATATATATTTGTGATAGGAGCTCATTCACTTGATTCGTCGAGTGGTGGTCAAATAAGTAGTGAATAAGAAAACAGTGCAGCTATTTCTGGAAATCAAGATAGGTATCCGACGTATGAAGGTTACCTAATCAACTATATATTATATACGATATCAAATAGATACGCCTTCATACATTCTCACTTGATAGTTGAAGTATTTACGTGTATTCATTTATTTCATCATGACTTCATTATATTTGTTCGATTTTGAAGAACCGAATAGAAAATCAGATGACTCTTCGACTGAAACGCGAAAAAACTCAAACTATAACGTCAGTTATTACATACAACAGGCTCGAGGTGATAGGTCTCAATGGACCAACTCACCTAAAACCCACCATAATGTATTAATAGGTGAGCAGGCTGAAAATTTCGACCGTCATCTGATAACGAAATGTTATATAGCGGGCGTTTCTCAAAGGTGGCTCACTCCTATAACTTTTTTGTTTCTACAGATAAAACAAATGAAATTTGGTGTGTAACTTTAGTTTATGGACATGCATTGATGAGCTTATTCAATTGTTTTTGTTACTTCAGGTTCTATTTTCATTTTGGAAGTGACACCCAGTGTATTCCCAGATAACACCAATCATCTGCTCATCATTTGTAACGCACACCTCTGCCGGCAGTTCATGTACTTTAGAGGTGCCCAGGCGGCCGCCAGCTGGCCGTACTACACACTACCGGCGATTACATATTTGACTCAGAAGTGCTACAGTGGCAACAAATTCCAATGCTCCATTGATGGGAGCGCTCAACCTCCAACGAATATGCATTCGCAAATTCGTATCAAGGAGGATGAGGTTTTCGTGCACACTCCAAGTACCTAATTCGCGGTCAGATCCTTGGAAATTGCTCGAAAAACTCATCCTCCTTGATAAGGATTTGCAAGCGCATATTCGTTGGTGGCTGAGCGCTTCCATCAATAGTACAGGGCTAGTTTTATCAATGTGAACCCCCCTCTATCTTTTTTGTTTTCCACCCATTCAAAAAATTTCAGAACTGATTTTATACAATTTTTCACACAGATTTCACTCATTTTGACAATGATGCACAATCTATTCAAATATACAGGGTATACAAAAATAAATATATTTTTCAAATGAAACGCCCTGTATATTTTAATGAATTTGAATTCTCCAAATATCCTGATTCCAAACATATATATAAAAGAATCTTAATCTATCAAATTCTATTCCATTTAAAAAAAATCTATATATTTCTGTATACCCTGTATATTTGAAGAGATATTGCAACACTTTTTCAATATGATTGAAATCAATATCAAATATCGTTAAAAAATCAGGTTTGAATTTTGTTGAATAGATAGAGAACAAAGAAGATGAAGGGGGTTCACATTAAGAGAACTAGCCCTGTACATTGAAATTTGTTGCCGCTGTAGCAGTTTTAAGTCAATAATTTTTATTCGCCGATTATTCGATAGTCGCCCGTCAGTTCTCAAGGAGGTTGGTGTTATCTCGGTTTGTACTTATTTCGATAAAGAATGACATTGTGGGTACGATGACACCTCATTTGCCGATTTTTTTGGAATTTCTCATTCTGAAATTTCCATTTTTCAATTTTCAATCTGGACTGATTATGATACTGGATATTGATTCAAGATATCGATTTTGTGGCATCAACGTGTTCGTAACAAAATACCTTTTTCACATATGGTGATGAGCCCCTTGTTTCATTTGAAAAAAAAGTTAACATCATAATCACGATATTGATAATTGAAACTTCGTCGAAAATATTTTTCCTTGGCAACTCGATTCAAAATCAACTGTTTCAACTCATTCATGGCAGATTGAAAATTGAAAGATGAAAATTTCAGTATTCTGAATGTCAAAAAATTCCATGGGTGTCATTGTACTCACAATGATATCTCCTTAGATCATACAGGAATAGATACTGAATGTACTGGTTGCATTGTTTTGTAAAGGTAGGAGGCGCTGACTACGGCGTTTTTGGGGGGGTGAGGTCATCTTTGGTACAAGTGTCCAGTGCCGTGCATTCATAAAGGGGTCCAAATTTGAATAAAATAGCAATGAATCTTTTATTGTTCAATACAATCTGAAATGATGAAATTTCACTTCTGATACGTTTCCAAAAATTCAAAACGTATTAACATATCATTAAAATAATCATTGATTATTTCAATGTTCTGCTTAATATTATGAATTAAGAGTTTATTATACCATAAGTGTTTTTTCTGTGCTGATGAAAATGATTCATTCAGGAAATCTATTACAATATAGTACTCATAGAAATGGAAGAAGCTAAAGAAAGTGATGTAAGAAGTGCTCAGTGCAAAGGTGCAAACATTCATGTTTTAATGGTAGTAAAAACACTAACTCTAGGAAATGATTAAAACACATTCTTCAGATGAGGCTCTCTGATGATTTCAATATTTTTGATACAATAGAATTATATAAACTATAATAATAGAATATTAATATTATGACCCTCTGGAGCTTAATGTCCATAGTTGTTGAATCAGCATGAAATCTGATGAAGAATCATTGAAATACATAAAGGTAGTAGTAAAGCACGTTTTCAGGTTAGATTTTTCTATAATATATATTTGATATATGATATCAGAAACAAATGATTTGTACAAACAATAATCACGGATTTTTGAAAAAAATCGATTTTGTTATATAACAATAATTAATTCTGAAATTAATTTTTGAAATTTGAATTGTAAATATCCCTCATTACATTCCTTATTTCTATAATAGTTTCTGCACTTTTGCTCAGGTACTTATTCTCTCGAAGATACAAGAATATAACTGTTTGTAGTATTGAACTTTTTCTGTCAAACGATTATTATCTCTTTTAAGCTTTGTTATGATTGCCCTCTGTTGTTGTATTATCTTATTTGAATTGTGAAAACTCTGTCTTGCTTTACGGGGACTCCTCATATCATCTGATGAAAATCCACCAAAATGATGCGGTTTCCTGAAGAGAAAAAGTGTATATATTCAAATCTATAAATCAATCAATTCACATAATTTTATCCCCAAGATGAAATTTCAATGAACTCAAATCCAAAGTACAGGGCATTTGGGAATTCATGAATGATTAGGTATAGGTATACAGTATGTCTCACTGAGTCAGAACCCTATGGAAAACAACTGTTTTATTATTCAATTTAGAAAGAAAAGTTATTCCTCAAAAAAGTTCTTCATGCTCAAAAACATAACCTAAAATACAATCATCAGATATCAATTTTTCTCATATACACGGTGTGTCAAAAAATGTGAATTGCTTCTTTATATTTAATATCTGATGATTGTTTCTCCATTTCAGAACATGCAGAACTTTTTATGAAAAATAAAATTGTTTCTTGAAATGAATAATAAAAGAGTTGATTTCCATATGGTTCTAGAGCTTAGTGAGACATACCTATGGACATACTGTATAAGTATCTATAATTAATGATCTTGAAACATTCACCTTCTCAATGCAAGCTTTGCCTTTTCTCTTTCACCTTCAGATGCAGTCAAAGTTCCTGAAGTATCTGTCTGCTTAGAGCAAGAACTTTTTACAGAAATGATAGGAGCTTCTGATGAATTTTCCAACATAGTGAGAGTTTCTTGGGTTTTTGGTTTGAACAGTTTTGGGATGTTCTTGTCACTATCTGAAGATGAAATATCCAAAACATTCCTCTTTTCTTCATTGTTTTCCTGTGAATGATTATCATTAGAAACTAATAAACTAAATGTTCAGAAATCAGAATATAGAAAAATTTCCTTCTTGGTGATGATTTTGATATATGAACAGTTTTTTATCTTACCCCTTTGTTAATGAACTGAACCTGGTACTGGGTGATGCTTCTTGAGGGTTTTCTGAATCTTCTTCTGTAGGTGTGATTACAACAGCCTCTGATGTTTCCCTGAAAAAAAAAATCTTCCTTGTTCATGTTTCATATCATTCATTATCAAGGTATTTCAATCCAGAAGGATGAGAATGGCTATCTTCAGCAGAGAAATGATCAGAGCATAGAAAAGTGTGTTTTTTCAAACTCTGAATCCAATTATTTGGCACCAAGGCACCCTTAGTTCCATGTTTTTTGGAAATCTAGAACATTTGAAATCATTTCATTGATGAATTTTTCTCTATGAGTTCATAGACTTTCAATATTTTTAATGATCAATGCCCTACTGCCTGTCAGCATCTACGCCTGAGGAATACTTACGAATGAAACGATTTTGATGAAGATTTAGCATATTTGCAATTACAAATAGCACAGGAGCTGCCCATAGTCTTTATTTTCACAATACACTCCTATTAGAAACAGTTTCTCTCACAAAAACACCCAAAAATTGATAAAATCCACGAAAAACACAATGCAAACAAAACTTGTAAACATACGAATCATACACGAAACGAAGAATCTGAACACGAACAGTCACGAATATTGAACGTCACAAGCGGCAATTTCGAATCGTCCAATAGGAAGACTTGTACTCTATTCCCCCCTTCAGTTACAAAACAAATCGCCCTAGATACATCATCTATTCCTGTATGATCTAAGGATATCTCTATCGAAATAAGTGGAAATATACCGGGTGTCCTATTTGAAATTAGAAAGTCTAACCGGAAGCGACACAAAACGATTGAATACGAAAATGCATATTCATGTACTATTCTCACACACACTGAATTTCATTTGTTCATCTGTAGAAACAAAAAATTCATAAGGGTGAGCCACTTTTGAGAAACACCCGATACGTTCCGAAGGCATGTAAACACATTGTATATCATCGAATGGCACCTGTGCCGATCACTATTCTGACCAAAATGAATAAAAAATCAAACATTCCTGTGCGGTTTTTTGTACTCAATTTGACGATTTCATAACGAGATGAAAATCATGCCATC